TGCAGCCTATTTTGACCCGAGACTGACCCTGATCGACAAATACTGTACCCATGTTCTTCTATAGATCCCTTGCATTGACAAAGCTCGAGATTCCCGGACGAAAACATTCTACGTTGCGGAGGATCTCAAATTCTCGGGGGCTCCGCGGATATATATGTCCCCGAAAAATTAATGAATTAAATATATGCAAAAAGAAGAATAGATACACGTTGTAGATCGCATGAGAAGTTAGGCCGAATCTAGGCCATAAATTGCCAGAGGGGTTCCGTCAGAGAGATTCACCCAAAAAAGGGTTGGCGATCTCAACAACAGAAAGACGAATACGACGCGAATTTACTTGAATATTACACTATGAGCAACACTTCTTCTCCAAAAAATGCCCTGGCAAAACCTGGGTGTGGGATCTATACTGTAAATATATTATGCAATTGAGATCATGAAAAAATTGCACAAAAATATCATTAAAATGTAACCATTCAAAATTTATATCATAGAATACGTGATGGAACTGTCTCATATTCTCATCAATTCTTCATCTCAAAACGTGTTTGTTTTTCACACAGAATTGGAAAATTTACTAATTTACAGAACTTTACCTATTTAAAGGCCAGATTTCGCTGTGACAAACGCATCGATTTTCCACTGAAGTGCATGTTATTTGAGAATCGAGTTCAGCAAATCTTATTTTTCTGTGCATTCTAGGTTAATTTAAATTCAGAATATAAGTATGCCTACACTAGCTGTAGAAGGCATATTTCTTGTTTTAAATCAAGAGTGTGGGTGCTTCCTTCGCAGAAACGGGGCTTAAAATTTGCATGAAAAATGCTAGTTTTTTTTAGAGGTCCACCATGTAAAGTTGAGTTTCAGGTATCCTCCGATGCAAGTAAATAACATTGAATGCGCAAGATTTTTTTTTTTTACCCTGGAATCAATGATAAATTACATTCGCGTGAATAAGGTGACGAGCCATCGTCTCCCCTGAGGTCAAATGCAAATGAAAAACCATTCTCACTTCATCAAGAACCATACAAACTCTAACAGCAATACATGCTGATTTATTTGCAGCTATTTGTGGGACGTGCCGATTTCATACCGGACTTTGGATGCAAATAACTGGAAGGACAGCAACACGTGGCTTCTGCGAAACCAGAAAAACAGTAGGTTTATAAAATTGACATTTGTTAAACAGAGGTCACCATTGCGAAAATTAACTTTTCAATCTGCAGTTCAAATACCACGAGGTCAGGGAGTCGACTGGATCAAAGTAAATAATGATTACATGGGCTACTACGCTGTTAATTACGACGAGGATGTGTGGAACATATTCGCGTCAATGATGCAGAACGATGCTCAGCGTTCCAAGGTGATGGAAGAAACTGCAAACCTCCCCCGCCAATTTTCCGGAATGATAATTCTGTGCTCGTCCTCAGTTCACCCCTTCCGACCGAGCAAATTTGATTGCGGACGCGTTTAAATTAGCAGCAGCAGCTCAGCTGAATTACTCGATTCCGTTCGAGTTTGCTAAATCTCTGCGAAAAGAGACCCACGCCGTTCCATGGGAAATCGGCTACTATGCGCTTGAAAACATCCGGTTGCTTTTGGCATCCTCGCCCACTTCATCGGCACTCGAGGTAAAAATTGATTTCTTTCGTCGATTTCCCAACAATTTAAGTTTAT